TATATATATATATACCTGGGATAAATGAACCCTATAATTAACATTGATTGTTATAAACTGTAATAATTATAAGTTGATACGTTTCAATTTACATGTCAACTCTCTCTTGGTAGATTCGATTTTTTTTTTAAAGGCTAAGAGCATCATTATTGATCTTTTGTGGATATCATTAAATATAAAATTATTAAAATTTGAGTAAAAGGAAGAAAGAGAGTGTTTTTGGTTGAAATAATGGAGTGTATTGAAATATAAAATTAATAAAATTTGAGTAAAGAGAAGAAATAGTAGGTATTTTTGGAGAGAGTGTATCAATGAATTGATACTTTTGATATTAAAAAGAGTGTGTTTGAGTGTGTTTTTAATAATTTTATATTTAAAGAGAGTATAAAATTAATAAAAGTTGAGTAAAATGATGAAAAAGAAAGTATAAAGTTGAGTAAAAGTAAGAGAGAATGTATATTTTAATATTTGTTTATTTAATGATACTCAAATGTATCAATGTTGGTGATGGTCTAATGGAAGAGTTCTGTATTAGATTCGATATTTACATGTTAATACGTGACCTTCCTAAAATAAATTCAAATCTGAACTTATTTAGAATCGTCCAATTAATTTAAATTCGGTACCACATCAATATCGGGGTCCATCAATAATTCAATATCATTGAAATTAAATAATAAAATACCTGAAACGGAATTTTGGCGGGAACGAATAACCATGCGTCGTTTTTTTGTTTTTATCTTTCTTATCCCCAAATTATCATACAAATTCGAATTCGCACCCCTAAAGTTTTTAATAATACGTTTTAACCCTAAAAATTAAAATTTGTTTTTTATAGCGTATAAAAAGCCTGGGCCTCTCTTTCGTTGCTTTCGTGGAGATTTTGATTATTGTCGCACAAAACCGTCGAAATCTGGGTAGCGAAGCGGAAGATCAAAAGATGAAGGAAGGAACAACGAGCTGGATGATGTCAGTACGGAGGAGCGGATACAAGGCGGTGGTTGACGGAATCGGTGGACGGCGGCGAAGAGAGGAAGATATGGTTGAGATCCGAAAAGCCAAGAGAGAAGAGAGCTTGCTTAAGAAGCGACGCGAGACTCTTCCTCATTCTCCTTCCACCGACTCTCTTGATCAGAAGGTACATTGGCTTTTTTTTAGTTCCTTTTGTAGTTTTTCGTCACGAAATCTGGAGAATGATAAGTTTCGCAGTTTCATTTCTCTTGGCAAAAGGGGTTCTGATGATAGGCGATTCGTAGATGCATGAGTCTTGGAATGATCTATGTAATTCTGATCGAATTTGGTGTCTCTAGTTTTTTGTGATTCGAATTTGTTGTTCTTAACTTTTCGATTCTGAGTTATTTTTCGATTCTGGGTTTTTGACTTGCTGCATTGTGAAATTTGTCTTTGATCCTTGAATTCTCGAAATAGGATCGCTAGATTTTGGACTTTTGCTTTCCGACGTTTCGAAATTCTCAGAGTGAGCTACTGATATTTTATTATTTGGTTTTGGTTTATGAAGGATTTGGATGTTCTGAAATTTGATTGTATAGTGCTATAGTTATCAGAATCAGCTCTCTAGCTTTTGTAATTGTAACCTGGCTTCTGAAGGATCTTCAATGATCTGAAAATTGGTTAATGTTTGAGATTTCAGTTTTCAAGACTTTCCATATTTGTTTTTGATCTGAAGATTTTTCTTATGCATATTATGGAATATTGTACTGGTGTTTGAAACTTTCACAACGGGAAATTACATATTGTATATCGGATTCTTATATTATCTTTGAGTAGTTTGTATGTTTTGATTGGTTACAGTTGATAAGCCGTATTTGGTCTGACAAGAGGGATCTTTTGATTGAGGCTACTACTCAGATCAGAACATTGCTTTGTGGTGGTGAGAGACATCCCATAACAATGTAGTTTAATATGAAAGTAAAACTATAACAATATGTTTGCTCTTTCTAATGCTATACGTGTTTTTGTAGAAATGTTTAATGAGCGTGTTGAAGAAGTTATACAGGCTGGTTTGGTTCCACGCTTTGTAGAGTTCCTTACATGGGATGAGTTTCCCCTGCTTCAGGTTAGCTTGATACTCCTGTACGCTCAATCTTGTTTTATCACTAGCTTCACAAACTCGATGTTTATTTTTCGTTTCATGGAACAAACTCTATAGTTTGAAGCAGCTTGGGCTTTAACAAATATTGCATCTGGAACATCTGAGAACACGGAAGTGGTGATTGATCATGGAGCTGTTGCAATACTAGTGAGACTTCTCAGCTCGCCATACGATGGGGTCCGTGAGCAGGTATATTGAAATGGTGATTAATCAGCACGTACTAATGATGTGTGGTTTTCGAATTCTTGTTACTGCTTAGTGCCTGTGGTTGCTTCTGCCTTCTGCAATTGATAAATTTAAAAGACAAAGAATTTGACAAAGATCAATAAACGGAGTGCAAACGTTTTTAAATTTATGGCTGAACAGAGGAAACAAGTTCAGACTAAATATAGTTGTAGGTTTATATGTCTTCTCGAGTTTGTTGTTCCTTTCCCTCTTTTCAGTTGCAACTAAGTTGTACTCTTCTGTTTTCTTGGACAATCAGGTTGTCTGGGCATTAGGAAATATTTCAGGAGACTCTCCTAGATGCCGTGATATAGTCCTTGGACATGGAGCTCTACCTTCTCTGCTGTTGCAGTTAAATGATGAGGCCAAACTTTCTATGCTAGTAAACGCCGCTTGGACTTTGTCTAATCTTTGCAGGGGAAAGCCTCAGCCTCCGTTTGAACAGGTAAGTTTTAACCAAACTGAGTTTTGTTATACCTCCTCCTCTTGCACTCTCAATATTGTGGTCTAGCATATTTAAGAGCTGTTAATCAGCTTTATTCCAAATTATGGCGATTAAAATCTGTTTATTACTGGAATATTTAATACTCTAGTGGTTAAAAGGTCTGGTTCTCAAGCGAGGGCAAACCGCAAGATAATTGTTTATCATATGATATTAGTAACCAGCGTAACTTGATGATTTTGTTAAATGCATTTTGAAACACTCCACACTTTCTTTAGGGTTGCCTGGCCTTAACCTTGTGATCTACATTGCCGTAATGATCCTGCTAATTTTCTTTGCGTGTTTAAGTAATTTTTTTCTGATTTAATTTGATGAATATTGTATTCTTGTAGACATCTCACTTCTTACCATATGCCTACAGGTGAGGGCTGCATTACCAGCTCTTGCACATCTCATTCGGTTAGATGACAAGGAAGTCTTGGCTTACGCGTGCTGGGCACTAGTGTATCTCTCTGATGGTTCAACTGAAAAAATACAAGCCGTGATTGAAGCCAATGTTTGTGCGCGACTTATTGGTCTTTCTGTGTGAGTGTTCAAGACTTTAGCTAACCAAGAAAATCCAGAGTCATAGATTCTGATTGATGGCTTTTTGCTTTCTGAACAGCCACCGTTCGCCTTCAGTTCTCACTCCCGCTCTTCGCACCATTGGCAATATTGTAACTGGAAACGATAGTCAAACTCAGGTAAATATGCAACTAAACAGATAGAAATATAGCATTAGACCTGCTTTTTCATTTTATTCCTGCTCTTTTTCCTTTTTCAGCTGAATATTCTACTATCACTGGCTTTTTGCTATTATTCTTTGTCAACTATAAGTTAAGTTTGTTCTCAGAACTTTTGTCTTTGTGATTTTCTTAGCATATAATTGATCTTCAAGCGCTCCCATGCCTGTTAAATCTTCTAAGAGGACCCTATAATAAGACTATCAGGAAGGAAGCTTGTTGGACAGTCTCTAATATCACAGCTGGTTGTCGATCACAGATTCAGGTTAGCTAAGATATTGTATCTGAACTTCTCTTTTTAACCGCTTCTAATCAATATTTCGCTCACTATTTATGTCTGCACTTGTTTATCTCCTTTGGTAGGCTGTATTTGATGCTAACATATGTCCTGCACTTGTTAATCTGCTCCAAACCTCTGAGCTCGATGTCAAGAATGAAGCTGCTTGGGGTATCTGCAACGCTATAGCTGGAGGCTCTTACATGCAAATCCTGTAACTAGAATAAAACTCAAATACATTTTCTCACTATTACTCTTTTCATTAGATGTTAGGTTGTCCATCCATTGAGTCTATTGCAACTTTTCTTGGTAGAGTTTTCAGCAGGTTATTTATATACTTGTCAAGCGCGTGTGGGTCAGTTTCTTTCTTTCCAAATCTCACTCGTGATCTGCTTATGTCTTGACAGGTTTCTTGTAAAGCAAGACTGCATAAAACCGTTGTGCAATCTTCTTACATCCTCAGATTCTCAAACCATCATGCTTTGTTTAGAAGCACTCGAGAAAATACTAAAGGTAGGTGAAGTATGCAACGGAAGACACGGTGACGGAATTTACCAATGTTCTCAAACAAATGTAAACCCACACGCTCAACTGATAGAAGAGGCCGAGGGACTGGAGAAAATCGAGGGCCTGCAATGTCATGAGAACATCGACATCTACGAGACAGCGGTGAAGATTCTAGAAACATACTGGGTG